ATTTGCACAAAGTATTCAAAGAATGCTATTTTAGTATTTCTAATTACTAAAATGTGCTGTAATAGTGGTTCTGGTCCAAAAAAGTGAAAATAAAAGAACAGTTGGTGAAAAGAAACCAATGATTGATTAAACCTAACACACAGGAAGCATGAGTTCCTGCAGAGAGCAGAAAACGTCATGTTGCTCAAAACTACACGGTTGTTTCTATGAATCAGTCTGACTTCAAACTCAGGCTCTCAGGCATAAACAGAGTTCAAATCTGACAAATATCTTCTTCAATTACACAAACACGCTTCCTGTGTTAGTAAGAGAAAAAAATTAAAGAAACAGAAACAAATGGATTAAACAGCTAAAGAATTCCACTCTCTATGAAACAATAAACCTGACGGACAAACTGAAAGTCCCAAACTTCACGTCTGAACTCTGACCCCTCTTTCCATTCTTGAACTTTACGTCTTACAGACTCTCTGCTCAACCACTTTTCACTTAACAAATGCAACAACATAAAAAGTTAGGGGGAAAGTTCAGTCTACCACATCACTTTTTCTAGTAAATATGAATGTTTTTATGAAAACATATTAATAAGAATAGATTATAAATCCAAGCTGCTAAAATGAACAATATTGCAATATTTGTATGCAGAGTAACAGGAAGTAATGTCAAAGGGGAGTGCCTGCATGTGAGCGTTGCTACAATGGCTAACAACACAGACTGAAGAGAAGAATCTAAAGTGTTTTTAGATTATTCTGAGTCCCTATCAGAGAGATGAAGAAGAGTCGGACTTCAAATAATCTTATTTCAGTAAACAAAGACCAGGAAGCTCCTGTTTCACTTTGGCTGCACCAAGTTCAAAAGAAAATATGACAGCTATGAAATGAAATGGGTTCAACTGTGAATTTTGCCAAATTTCTTAAATGTAAAGATGTTTTCTTCTACTTTGTGTATTTGTAGGATAACAGACATGCTGAACTGACAGTTTCTGGTGTTAACTTCCATTCATGCAAATCTTGAAAGAATGATTCAACATACATAATGTTGATTTAATTTAAAAATAATAACTTTACATGTAGTTCAGACACACTTGATGAAATTTCATTGATTTATTTATTCAACATTACATTTGAATAGTTATAATTGTATGCTTTATTTTACAAGTTTGGTTTATTAATTCAAACTTTTACAGGCAAAAGTTGTGTTTAATAAATTTAAGTACAACTATAGTAATGCTTTAAAGCTTTTATTGCCTGCCACAAAAACAAAATCCATAATAACACTGCTTCATAACACTCACCAGCATTATAAAGAAAAACTCCCATAAATATGGATTAAAGTTAATCAAAGTGCTTGAACTGTGCCACCCTGTGGCTTGATGTGTTGTACCCTGACATATAACCCTAGCAGAATTTATTCATGACCCTAACCACAGTCTCCACTAAGAAGCTGCTGGATTTATTTGTTTTGATTGTTTGTCATATGTTGATTTAACAGCAAACTAATTAAATCATTTTTACATGGCATGTTAACAAGCATCCTTTATTTCTAAGTTAACAATGGCAAAACAAGTCCTTAGACCTGCTGACTCAAAGCAATGCTACTGTTTAAAGTGACTGATTATCTTAGTAAAATAATACATGTATTTTTATCTGATATACCGGTAGGTAGTGTGCAAAATGCTTTACAGGAACTCCCAGACACAAAAACAGCTATTATTTCCAGTTTGTCACAGTTTTATATCAGTTGTTTCAATCAAAAGGGGTTGTCTTTAAAGAGAAGGGTGTGATGTAATGAAACATTCACTTCAGTGGGCAATGCAACAGTGGACAGTTTGTATATATCAACTTTATATCGTGGGCAGCACGGTGGCACAACTGGTAGAGCTGCTGCCTCTCAGCGAGCAGGTCCCTGGTTCAAACTGGGGGTCTTTCTGGGTGGAGTTTGCATGTTCTCTCCATGCATGTGTAGGTTTTCTCCAGGTACTCCAGTTTCCTCCCACAGACCAAAAACATGCATGTTAGGCTGATTGGTAACTCTAAATTATCCCTAGGAGAGAGAGAGTGAATGGTTGTTTGTCTCTATGTGTCCCTGTGATGGACTGGAGACCTGTCCAGGGTGTCCCCTGCCTCTTGCACAGTGATGCCTGGACATGGGCACCGACGATCCCCGTGACCCAAAAAGCAAGAAGCGGGTAAAGATAATGGATGGATGGATGAACTTATATTGTATATCACTGTTATCAAAATTAGTATTTTTTATGTAGAAGTAGCAGTGAACTGTTTTAGTGAGTGAAACTGACTTTTTGTTCAGCGTTGAATGTCTAAAGTCATAGTTAGCAATAGCCTGTTAGCACACTGAAACCACTGAGACCCACAAACACAGAATCATTCCATCAAAAGAGGCCAAAAGAAGAAACAATGACATCATAGTCAAACGTAGAAGTTTTGACACTGTAATTCATCCATCCATCCATCCATCCATTTTCTTTACCCTCTTATTCCATTTTGGGTCACGGGGGTCGCTGGTGCCCATGTCCAGCAATCACTGTGCAAGGGGCGGGGTACACCCTGGACGGGTCGCAAGTCCATCACAGGGACACATAGAGACAAACGAGACAAACAACCATTCACTCTCCCACTCACACCTAGGGACAATTTAGAGTTACCAATCAGCCTAACATGCATGTTTTTGGTCTGTGGGAGGAAACCGGAGTACCAGGAGAAAACCTGTGCATGCACGGAGAGAACATGCAAACTCCACCCAGAAAGGCCCCTGGACCGGGGTTTGAACCAAGGACCTGCTCGCTGAGAGGCAGCAGCTCTACCAGTTGCGCCACCGTGCTCACTGTAATTCATACAAAATTAAATTAACTTTTTTTTTTTCTTTAAAAATTACACCTTTAGTCCCTGAGGCCCCTAAAGTTTTTGGATTTCACCCAGTTTGTGGATTCTTCTGGGCTTTCTAAGGCTAATATGTGAGATTTTTACCCTGGGACTCCTTCAAATAAAAGCATTCATAAGAAGATTTTTCATTAAATCTTCCAGGTGAACAGAACATCCTGCCAAATCTGATGTAAGTGAGCAGAAAATCATTCATCCTGAAATTTAGAAATGAACAAACGTGCTTTTAAAAATAATTACGTCTATGGTGACAGAAACCTTTTAAAACAGGTTTCTATTCAATTTCCCTGCCATTTGAGACTCTTTTCCATCTTTGATTTCGATGTTAGATTTCATGGCAAAAAAAACCTCTTTCTGATAAACTAATGCGAAACTGCTTCTTTTTACTTTGGGCTTTGGGCGGCTGTGGCTGAGTGGTTAGAGCAGTCGTCCTCCAATGCAAGAGTTGGGAGTTCGAACCCCACAACAGTCACATGCCGAAGTGTCCCTGGGCAAGACACTGAACCCCTTGTTGCCTCCGATGTGTGTCCCATCGGTGTATGAATGTGATAAATCACTGATTAGTCTCTTTAGAATGATTTGTTCAATTAGCTTTGTAGAGATCTAGTAGAGTGCTGTATGAATGGGTAAATGAGGGCACAGATTGTAGTGTAAAGTGCTTTGAGTGTCTCAATAAGATAGAAAGGCGCTATATAAGTACAGTCCATTTACTTTGTGCAAACAAAGTGATGGACAAGCTAATGTTATCACGTCTTCAGTCAAAAGATGGGATTTATAACAGAAGCAAACTTTTATTAGTCCCTTATTTTAGCCCCGTAAATACAAAAATTAAAAAAATGATCAGCCTTAGAAAATAAATTGAGAAAACTTTGTTTTTAGAGGGGATTTAATCTCCATGTTTCACACAATCTGTTTAATGGTGAGTTTGTTCAGACCTCTCAAATGATTCCCTTAAATGTACCAAAGCTGCTAAAACTCTAAAGCTGTACCACCCGCCTAACGATTGATGAGCAGGACGATTACTTTACACATGTTTCTCATGTAGTGCTATACCACTTAATCATCAAGTATTTCTCACTTGGCATGTGTCACATTTCAGGAAGTGTACCCTCAGGATACTTTCCACCAGTCTGGTTTTGCTTTGTCAGCTTTAAGAAGTAATTAAATCCGGCCTGTAGCATCAAGATGACTTCAAACACAAACAAACTCCACCTTTGTCCTCAGGTGTGACCCAGACCAACAGTTCACCAACCAACTTGTTTCAACAGCATGAACGAAATAACTCCAGTCTTTATTTTGATATTTCCCGCCTCATGAACTGATTTTTAATGTACTTTATGTGCACTAATCCTCAAAGTGATTGTTACCACTATTTGCGCAACCCTGCATTCTTTTCAACCTTTAGAACCACCTGTTGTCTGCAGATTTTTGTGTCTGAAGCTCACAGTAGACCACCAGCCATTCCCAACAGCTTTAGGATGCTAATAATATATAAAGACCAGACCCAAGGACCCCATTGGTTGTCCTCTGATCTCCCCTGGGACATACCAGAACTAATTAATCTCCCCATCTTCATCAAGTTTCTCTCTAATCTGAGTTTTAAGTCAAACCTAAACCTAAACCAACTGCTATCATTTCCATCCATGTTTAATCTGTCTAAAATTGAGCTCTAAGGGTGCTTTAGAAACCCTGCCCCTCCACCCCTACCCTTCCATGTCCTGACTTCTTCAGAGGACTCCACCCTACCACTTCAGACATCTTCCTCCAACCCCTCCCTCCTGAATGAAGACTGTACATCTTCCTCTTCTGTTAGAAATGGAGTTTTCTGAAAGTCCACCACTGCTTTTGATTCTTTCATCAATGCAGAGTCAGCACAAAGTTTTCGTAAAGTTTAAAAGATGTGTGTCTCCCTGAGCAGTTCACAGACATCCCCTATTATGATCTGATTCTCTGATGCCAAGAGAGTGAGACGTCTTCAGAGGTTTGTCCAGATGCAGACAGGACTAACACTCAAACAGAAGTCTACAATAAGTCACGTCTCACAATACAGACTGAGGTGTGACGTGAGGGGGTGTCCACGGGGGTCCCACAGCTGTTGGATCTTACCTGAACTTGCACTCGACACCACAAAAAGCAGAATGACGGCTACAGAGAGATGAAGGTCTCTTCTCCTCCGTTTAAGTCTCCATCTGATGCGTGTATCCATGACCGCTTGCGCCTCCACGGAGAGTGGCTTCTCTTCTCAGTTCACACAGCAACTGGTTCAACCTGCAACAAGTTGTGCTCAGGACTCAAACTCCAACCAAGTCAAAAGTCCCAGAGAAAATAAAAAAGAGGGGGAGAAGGGGGATGTGTGAGGTTGTTTCTCAAGCAGCCATAAGAGTTGTTAGTGTGGATCCTCCTACTGGTTGACGGATGAGCTCCGTGCGTCCTGGACTGCTCCTCTCCTCTCTGCTCCCCTCAACTGTCCCGCAACGCTTCACCTCAGAGCTCAAGACTCCCCCTTCCTCCCAATTTTACCCACACCTCCCAGACCCCCCCACCCCCACCACCACACACACACACACACACACACACACACACACACACACACACACTACAGTCGTCACACTCAGGAGAAAGTTTCCTCCCACCTTTCCCCCACTCCACCCCCAGACTGTCAGTCAGTCCCGACAGCAGAACCTGGACAAATCAGAGGCGTCGGTGCATTAGAGCCGGCCCTGTTTCTGTCCGGGGAAGGGAGGAAGGACATTTCGCCTGCACTTCTCTAACTCCTCAGAGGAAAAGGTTAGAGCGGGAAAACCAAACCTCCTTCCAAGTATACCCAGGAGTTGGAGAACAACCTAAGGAGTTTGAGATCTCAAACATATTTATCAACTCATACCAGCAGCGGTGTTAGGTGCTGACTCAGCACTTATTCTGTTCTAAACCACTGAATTTACAATTTTATTTATTTATTTGATTATTTATTTAGGCTAGTGGGTTTGAAAAATGGGAAATTTTCACCAATCAATCAATTTGGTTTGTCATCACAAAGTCCAACCTTTTTTCACTAGCAAAATATGGAAATTGTATTGATATTATAACGTTGCAAGGGCAAGCTCAATCTTTGGAGTCAATCAAATTAATTTATAGTTATTAAATTATGAAAAATACCACAGCAGGACAGAAAATGTTCATCTTTCCCTCTAAATAAAGAGTGACCGGATGAACTTTCTGGGTGGAGTTTGCATGTTCTCTCTGTGCATGCTTGGGTTTTCTCCGGGTACTCTGGTTTCCTCCCACAGACCAAAAACATGCATGTTAGGCTGATTGGTAACTCTAAATTGTTCCTAGGTGAGAGAGGGAGTTAATGGTTCTTTGTCTCGTTTGTCTCTATGTGTCCCTGTGATGGACTGGAGACCTGTCCAGGGTGTCCACGGCCCTCACACAGTGATTGCTGGACATGGGCACTGGCGACCCCCGAGACCCAAAATGGAAGAAGTGGGTAAAAGATAATGGATGGATGTATGTATATACAAAGTACAGTACATATTTATAAACACACACACACACATAGACACCCCCCCCCCCACACACACACACACACACATATAAATACAGGTCCTTCTAAAAAAATTAGCATATTGTGATAAAGGTCATTATTTTCCATAATGCAATGATAAAAATGAAACTTTCATATATTTCAGATTCATTGCACACCAACTGAAATATTTCAGGTCTTTAATTGTTTTAATACTGATGATTATGGCATACAGCTCATGAAAACCCAAACTGCCTGTCCCAAAAAAATAGCATATTTCATCCCACCAATGAAAGACAAGTGTTTTTACTAAAAAAAAATGCCAACCTTCAAAATAATCATGTTCAGTTATGCACTCAATACTTGGTCGGGAATCCTTTTGCATGAATGACTGCTTCAATGCGGCGTGGCATGGAGGCAATCTGCCTGTGGCACTGCTGAGGTGTTATGGAGGCCCAGGATGCTTCAATAGCGGCCTTAAGCTCATCCAGAGTGTTGGGTCTTGCGTCTCTCAACTTTCTCTTCACAATATCCCACAGGTTCTCTATGGGATTCAGGTCAGGAGAGTTGGCAGGCCAATTGAGCACAGTAATACCATGGTCAGTAAACCATTTACCAGTGGTTTTGTCACTGTGAGCAGGTGCCAGGTCGTGCTGAAAAATGAAATCTTCATCTCCATAAAGGTTTTCAGCAGATGGAAGCATGAAGTGCTCCAAAATCTCCTGATAGCTAGCTGCATTGACCCTGCCCTTGATAAAACACAGTGGACCAACACCAGCAGCTGACATGGCACCCCAGACCATCACTGACTGTGGGTGCTTCACACTGGACTTCTGGCATTTTGGCATTTCCTTCTCCCCAGTCTTCCTCCAGACTCTGGCACCTTGATTTCCGAATGACATGCAAAATTTGCTTTCATCCGAAAAAAGTACTTCGGACCACTGAGCAACAGTCCAGTGCTGCTTCTCTGTAGCCCAGGTCAGGTGCTTCTACCGCTGTTTCTGGTTCAAAAGTGGCTTGACCTGGGGAATGCGGCACCTGTAGCCCATTTCCTGCACACGCCTGTGCACGGTGGCTCTGGATGTTTCTACTCCAGACTCAGTCCACTGCTTCTGCAGGTCCCCCAAGGTCTGGAATCTGCCTTTCTCCACAATCCTCCTCAGGGTCCGGTCACCTCTTCTCGTTGTGCAGCGTTTTCTGCCACACTTTTCCCTTCCCACTGACTTCCCACTGAGGTGCCTTGATACAGCACTCTGGGAACAGCCTATTCGTTCAGCAATTTCTTTCTGTGTCTTACCCTCTTGCTTGAGGGTGTCAATGATGGCCTTCTGGACAGCAGTCAGGTCGGCAGTCTTACCCATGATTGCGGTTTTGAGTAATGAACAAGGCTGA